TGTGTGTGTGTCTGTGTGTGTGTGTGTCTGTGTGTGTGTGTGTGTGTGTGTGTGTGTGTGTGTGTGTGTGTGTGTATGGGGTCTTTTGCTCCTTAAGGATGTAGAAGAGATGTTACATGGCAACTAAACTATGTGAGACAGAGAGGAGATTCTCACAGCATGGGTTTCTAGAGGGGAAAAAATACTTTTCCATGTTTTCCTGTGAGACAAGATGTGTAGGATCAGATGTGCTAATGGAGATGTGGCAATGAGCTTTGTTGAGAACTCTGTTAGGGATGTTACTGGGTATGGATATGTGGCAGACAAGCAAAATAGTAGAGGAAAGTCCTGGGACCTAGGTTTATCTAGTACTTCTTTCGGTCATGATGGAAAGATGTTAATCATTACGAGGGTTACTTCAACTTCAGTCAGTTAAATTATTGAAGACTGTAATAAGATCGATCACTGATTATCCTAGAAAGGCTTCTGTCAAATAATGTGTCCTAAACTCAGAGGTCCAGTTGTTACTCTTGGAAGTTAAATTATTGAAAACTGTAATAAGATCAATCACTGATCATCCTAGAAAGGCTTCTGTCAAATAATGTATCCTAAACTCAGAGATCCAGTTGTTACTCTTGGAAGTTCGATGGTAGTCTAGAGAAGCTGAAGGTCTCTGGGATGTTGCTGAGCCTGTCTGTGTCCCCTCTGACTACACGATCTGTGTGAGGAGCTCTTCCCCATTTCTCTGTGTGACTTAGAGTTGATGTATTAGTACCTCTGGTTTGGGCTTAAAGAGCTCCTGGGAAATGGTTGTTTTAGATGCATGCGAGAAAAGCAAGACCCAGCATCTCCTGGGACTTGTACCAGACCCTTGCAAAGTTGTGAACTTTGACTAGAACCTTTCTACCTTAGCTTTTCAGAACATGAACTCTAAAAGGAAAGCAGAAACCTGGAAAAGAAACAGACGTCAGCTGGTAAGTTAGTTATATATGTGGCTTCTGAAATGCTACCCTCCAGATTTGAGTAAGTTTTTAACATTTTCATTTGGTAAATGTTTACAGCATAGCCCTCACCTTGCAAAGACTACTTAATAGAGCAGGACTTTCATTGGATTGTTAGTACCAAACCAAATATTTTGAAAGAGGGTAGATAATACTAGGTTTTCTGATTGTGACATAGAAAAAAAAAGCTAGTTTTTTAATAACCAAATTTTTTTTTTTTGTCTTTTTTGGTACTGGGGATCGAGCCCAGGACATTGCACTTGCTAGGCAAGCACTTTGCCACTGAGCTACATCCCAGCCCTTAATAACCAAATTTTATAGATGAAGTTAAATTGGTCTCAAAATAATTTCTCTGTAATTGTGACGTTTTCAGTGGATGACCTCGTTCTGACCTAGTAACATTTCTTTCATGTGGCATTCAGGTTGAAGCTAATTGTATATCTATCTTCTAAACACGTGTCTCTAATTCGTTGACCTTTTGACCCTCTTAGGTCAAGACACCTCCACTCACCAGTCTAACAGCCTTTTCTTACTTTGTGGTAGAAAAATATACTTGGTGATCAAAACTAGAGGGAACTATAAGGACAATTTTTATTATCTATAAGTGTTTGCATATATATACTTGTAAGATTATACACATACATTGTAAATTGAAAGAAAAATAATCTTATTACATTTACCTTGAATGGTATCTTGGAAAGTTACTGAAACAGTATAAATTTTTCAGTAAAATACTTCTGTCTAGACAAAGTTTATCTTATATATTTATATATATATATATATATATATATATATATATATTAAATTTTTTATTTTTTGCCAGTCCTGGGGCTTGAACTCAGGACCTAGGCACTGTACCTGAGCATCTTTTTGCTCAAGGCTAGGACTCTACCACTTGAGCCAGAGTGCCACTTCTGGCTTTTTCCGTTTATGTGGTACTGAGGAATCAAACCCAGGACTTCATATATGCTAGGCACTCTACCACTAAGCCACATTCCTAGCCCAAAGTTTATTCTTTTTTTTTTTTTTTTTGTGGCATTGAGGATTAAACCCGGATTCTGCCAGTTGTGCTATGTGCTGTGCCCTGCCTTCATTATTGAAGTATGAGCACTGGGCTTGAACTCAGAGCCCTGCACTTTTATTTAGCTTTTTTGCTTACAGCTGGCACTCTACCAATTGAGCTATGCCTTCAGTTCCAGCTTGTTTTTGCTGGTTAATTGGCAATAAAAGTTGTTCTGGGTTTGTCTTCCCAGGCTAGCTTTGAAGGGATCCTCAGATCTCTATCTACTAAGTAGCTAGGATTACAGACATGAGTCCTGGGCACCTGACTCTTGGATTTTCTCTGTTCTCTGAGACAAGTGTTGTACTCTTTGATGTGTACCAGAGGGCCATCAGATTCTCCCAGGACCATTATATAGTTCTGTAAGATGGGTGATTTCCCTTCATACTTGCAGTTAAATGTCATTTTAAAAACTTTTTGAAAGCATGAATAAACATTAGGCTCTGGTGCTTGCTTCCTTATCACAGAAATAGGAAAGTAAAAATTAGGCTCATCTTCCTATTACCTGCTTTCATAATTTGAAGAAAATAAAGCCTCAGTTTTCCAAGTGTTAACTAGCCATGTTCTTTGCCCTTTGTAAGCAATCCCATTCAGCTAGTACCAAGCTGAAGGAGGGGGGGATACTGGTTAATGCTTAGCACAAATGGAATAGTCTAGGTTGAGCATAGTAAATACTGCTTCCCATTAACACTTCTCGTCCTCACTGAAAAAGTAGAGCTTTACCTTCACACCTTGGCTACTTAAATCATATTGTAATAGTCTAACTTGTGGTGTGGCCCTAGGTTAACCCTAGTAACTGCTTAGGTAGTGAGTCAGCTCAGAGTTCCTAAACCCCAGAAGTAAGAGATGATGCATACAAGTTCCACCTAGGTATTTAATCTACATCAGTTTTATTCTTAGACATGACAAAGTAGAGATTGAAGTTGCTTTGTCTTCCCTAAAAGAAAATTGAGTCATAAAGTTTGAACACGTGATTGAAATGGCTGTCCAATGAATAGAGTGCTTATAGACTTCCGTTGTAGTGCTCACTGACAACAAAAGAAGGAAAAAGGGCACAGAGTTAAGAGGTTAGAGTTGGTGGCACCTTATGGTGGACAAGGGGCAAAGGTTTGGGAAGGGGGAGGTCCTTAGATTGGAAAGGCTCCGTCTGGCACTAACAGGACTGGAAGTGTGGTAAGACATGCTTCTAGAGTGGAACTTCATCTCATAGCACAGATTTGTGCCTTCAGCAAGCTATGTTTTGTAAATCCCAGAGGGTTTTTTTTAATATTATAATTTGAAGGTATTCTCATGTGGCAACTGATGTATGGTTTTTATAATGTTTGATTAAACAAAAATGAGATTTAATATTTATCTTTTGCTACAATAAACTTAGTCTCTAAAGAGTATCTAGTTTCTTACATAAGAAGCAAAGTACTTCTGCTTCTTAGATAGGGCCAATTCTTGTTTCAGACTTCCAAGCTTAAAAATATTTAGGGTATTTATGTTATTTAAGATTTGCAATATTAAAAATATTGTATAACTGTGTGCTGGCTGGCTTACATCTATAATCCTAGCTATTCAGAAGGCTGAGATCTGAGGATCACGGTTCAAAGCCAGCCTGGGTAAGAATGTCTGTGAGACTTATCTGCAATTAACCACCAAAAAGATGAAAGTGAAGTTGTGGCTCAGTTGGTAGAGCACTAGTCTTGAGCTAAAAGCTCAGGCACAGCACCCCATCCCCGAATTCAAGCCCCAGGACAGACACAGAAGTAAATAAACACATACATACATATTTAAATAGCACGATTAGCTGCATGAAAAAACTGGATTATGTTTTACAATGTTCACAAAAGTAAATTGAGCATGGGAAATAAAATGTAAAAACTTTTAGATAAAAATATAAGGCAACCTTTTTTTTTAAACCTCAGAGCAGGCCATATCTCTTAAATAAGATAAAATTAGGGCTGGGAAGGTGGCTCAGTGGTAGAGAGCTTGCCTTGTGCCTGAGGCCCTGGGTTCAATTCCTTAGCACCACATAAGCAAAAAGAAAAAAGCCGGAAGTGGCACTGTGGTTCAAGTGGTAGAGCACTAGCATTGAGCTGAAGAGCTGAGGGACAGCACCCAGGCCCAGAGTTCAGGCCCCATGACCGGACCCCCCCCCCAAAAAAAAAGATAAAATTAGTACAAATCATCAAGGAAAAATATGATTTATTTGACTACTTTAAAAGGAAAAAAAATCCCTGTATATCAAAAGAAATAAAGGAAAAGAGCCGCAGACAGTCCTGAAGAGGTGCAAGTCTGCTGCTAGGCACAAGCTCCGAGGAAGCACATGTGGGTGCCAGGAGGATGGAGGGCTCACCCCACCACACAGCCATGTCCTGGAACAACAGCGAGAAGGCTTGAAGCAGAGTGCCTGGGTGACAGCATGGGCCAACTTTAGAAAAAGTGTTTACAGGAAAGCCTGCACAAAACTACATTACAATCTCATTTAGAGTCGTGAGGCAAAATGAAACTTCTTTTGAAAAGCAGGGTTTTTGATGAACACCAATGCAGCATGGTAGTCAGGAGGTGAGATCTAATGATGCTGATATTTGGTTCTTCATTTAAACTCATGGGTATTCATTTCATTGTTACGCCACGTGATTTGATCATGCATATCATACGTCATGTAATACTATTGGTATGTGGCAAGTATTTCACATGCAAAGTCATCAGAACAATAAGCCTCAGACCAGATGTTTGCAGAATGTAAAACTATTAAGGATAATAAGCACTTTGAATTCATAAAGAATTCCTATGAATCAATAAGAATAAAGAACACAACTAAAAAATTAGTGAGCAAAGAACCTGAAAAAGAATAAGAGAAATGAAAATGGAAACATCTCACTAAAAAAAAGTCAAAGCCTAACTGTGGGTGAGATGAGGACGCCAGGCGCAGCCTCCTTGGGCTAGCATCCAGTCAGCGCCACTGGTGGGAAGGTTGCTGGAGCCTCCTGACTTGAGCCAGCACTGTATGCTGTGGTATGACACATCATAAGTCTCCATAGTGCGCAGCCCCACAGGGCGTGGTGTTTTCTGGGTGTTCTCATACTGAGTTGTTGGCGGCCACACGATGTCCATTTAGGGAGGAGTGGCAAAAAACAACTGGGATTTATTTGTGTAATGCAGAAGAATATGCCAGAGGAATGTGTGAACCAGAGCTATAGGAGTAAACCTCAAATCCATAATGTTGAAGAAAAAAAGTAAGTTTTAACATTGAACACAATGCAATGTAGTGTGAAGAAGCCCTTTATATAGCAGACAACTAGCATGCTTTATGAAAAAAGACAGCACCATAGCTTTCAGCTTTCAGGAAGAAGTTTAAAAGAAACAAATGAGCCAGGTGCCAGTGGCTCACGTCCGTAATCTTAGCTACTCAGGAGGCTAAGATCTGAGAATCTTGGATCGAAGCCATCCCGGATAGGAACATCTGTGAGACTCTTATCTCCAGTTAATCACCAAAAAATCAAAAGTGTTGCTGTGGCTGCAGTGGTATAGTGCTAGCCTTGAGCTGAAGAGCTCAGGGACAGCACCAAGGCCCAGACAGTTCAAACCCCATGACCAGCAAAAAAAAAGAGAGAGAGAAATGGCTGTAAGATGCTTATCTCCAGCTAAGCACCAAAAAGTTGAAAGTGGAACAGTGGCTAAAGTGGTAGAGCATCAGCTTTGAGCACAAAAGTTTAGGGACAGCACCCTGGCCCTGAGGTCAGTCCGCAGGACTGGCACCAAAAAATAAAGTCAGGGAAATGATTGAGATAAATGACAGATGATAAATCTCTGATATGAGATGGATCATGTATATTGCACTGTCTATGGTTTTCTTTTTGTATGTTTGTAATATTTCAGAATAAATACTTAAAAAGATAGCAGCTGCAATTTTTTATTTTGAAGATCATATAATCATCATATCTCCCAGCATAAAGCCTTTTACTTGGGAAATCCTCACATGTTAAGCACTTTGGGAGGCTTTCGAATATACTTACAGTATTTTCAATCTTGCTGTATGAGAGTAGAATACAGGAATTTAGAAAATGTTCCTCTAATAACTTCTATGGAAACCATTATATAGTAAAATAGACATTTATAAACATTTGATGTATAGGATATAACTTTCACTTTTGATACTAAGGCTTCCTTTATGATTTTCTTGAATTAAAAATTAAAGAGGCAGCTGGATGCTGGTGGCTCACTCCTGTAATCCTAGCTACTCAGGAGGCTGAGATCTGAGGATCGCGGTTCAAAGCCAGCCCGGGCAGGAAAGACTGTGAGACTCCTATCTCCAATAAACCACTAGAAAACCAGAAGTGGCGCTGTAGCTCAAGTGGTAGAGCGCTTGCCTTGAGCTGAAGAGCTGAGGGACAGTGCCCAGGCCCAGAGTTCAAGCCCCACAACCAACAAAAAAAATAAAAAATAATAAAAATTAAAGAGACAAGATAATGGAATAAGATATTTAATTTCCAAATTAGTTTTGAGGCCTTGTATAATTCCATGTTGGATGTCAAGTTTATCTGCAAGTGTTGCTTAGTAGTCTTCCTTAGGATGGTTTTGTCATGGTGAGTTGTGCTTACTTACATATTAAGCAGCACAGAACCTGGCACTTAGTGAGAAATCTGTAAATGAGGGCAGTTGTTCATGGGCTTTGGAAGGGTCTTTGGCTTTGTTCTTTGTGGAATGTGCCCTTGCAAATCCAGCTTACATTAAGCTACTGGGCGACCGTCCTGCATATTTACTTTGGGGGTAGCTCCTGGTGGTGCTGTAGCCTTTGGTCTTTGGAACAGAACTGTGAGCGACTGCTTGGCTGGGCCTCTCTGATACATGGTACATGTTTCAGGCCTTCTCCACAGTAGGCACTCCTGACTACATTGCTCCCGAGGTGTTCATGCAGACCGGGTACAACAAGCTCTGTGATTGGTGGTCCCTTGGCGTGATCATGTATGAGATGCTCATCGGTAAGTTGCATGTCTCCAGAGGACCTCCAGTGTGCATCCACAAACTACTGCTACCTTGATTCTAGGTTGAGACGGGAGGGAGCTAGGAGGCACTTTCCCTCCTTTGTCTTTCTAAGTGAAGAGGCCTACCTAGATAGGTGACTCAAATAAGCCTTGCTATGTTCTTGGGCTTCCTGGAGGCCTTGGTTGCTTTGCTGATCATTTGCTTTTTTTTTTTTTTTTTTTGTTCAGTTGTGGGGCCTGATCTCTGGGCCTGGGCTCTGTCCCTCAGCTCTTCAGCTCAAGGCTAGTGTTTTACCACTTGAGACTCAGTGCCACTTCTGGCTTTTTCTGCTTATGTGGTGCTGAGGAATCAAACCCAGGGCCTCAGGCATGCAAGGCAAGCGCTCTGCCACTGAGCCACCTTCCCAACCCTTGCTTTGTTTTTTGTTGTTGTTCTGTGCTTTCATCCTCTTCATCGAGCAGTTCTTTTAGTTGCTGGCATTTATTCTGCATTTTCCAAGCTCTGAGAATTACCTCACCTTGTAACTTGCTGCTCCCTTGCTCCCCCCTTTTTTTCTCCCCCCCTTTTTTTTGGCCAATCCTGGGGCTTGAATTCAGGGCCTGGGCACTGAACTAAGGGACTAGGCACTGTCCCTGAGCATCTTTTGCTCAAGGCTAGTACTCTACCACTTGAGCCACAGTACCACTTCTGACTTGTTCGGTTTATGTGGTACTAAGGAATTGAACTCATGGCTTCATGCATTCTAGGCAAGCACTCTACCATAAGCGACATTCTCAGCCCTCTCTTCCTCTTTTAAAGCCTTCACAGTATGAAAGTCTCTGACCTGTCTCCCTAGTATTGGGAGAGTGTCTCTGTATTTAAGGGACACACCTGTGTGCTAAGCCATTGAGCACTAGGATTGGGAGTGTGTAGGTGACTGGGTGTGGGGTGGTCTGGCATTGTCTTCAGGAACATTGGATGGATGTCTGTGACAGATGTACCCTGTAGAGAGTGCAGATTTGGGGTAGGGTGTGTGTTTCTCCTCTTTCCTGTTCTCAAAATGTATGACAGTCACTTTGAAAGCTCAGGCTTTTGTTTTGTTTTGTGCCAGTCCTGGAGCTTGAACTCAGGGCCTGGGCATTTGTCTGTGAGCTTTTGTGCTCAAGGCTAGTGCTCTACCACTTGAGCCACAGTGCCATTTCCAGCTTTTTCTGAGTAGTTAATTGGAGATAAGAATTACTTGGGATGGCTTCAAACCATGATCCTCACATCTGTCTCCTGAATAGGATTACAGGTGTGCGATCCATGGTTTTTCTTATTTAGTTTGTTTGGTAATTGGCTCATAGAAGGATATTCCTGGAATAGTTATTCCTTGAATGTATGTTTTATCCTAACATTGGCGTGGTAATCTTCACACCTGCAGCTTTGAGTATGACCTCCTGTGTTTCCAGCTCCAGCTGTTAGCTGGCTGGTACTAGAGGCTGCTACTAGTGGGTTTGCAAGTTTAGATGCGTAGGTGTTTGCTGGGGTGAGTGGGAAGTCTTCTTGTCTGTCACAAGCGGCCACTAAAGAGAGCAGTGTGTTGATTGAGAATCACCTCAGTCAGGCTCCATGCGCTTCCAAGTTCCTCTTTATTCCAGGCTACCCACCTTTCTGTTCTGAGACCCCGCAAGAGACATACAAGAAGGTGATGAACTGGAAAGAAACTTTGACTTTTCCTCCAGAAGTTCCCATCTCTGAGAAAGCCAAGGATCTAATTTTGAGGTATCAGCATTTTTCCACCTGTTGAAACTTTTTGACATGAGTGATTCCTCTAAAAAAAAAAAATCTTCTGGGTCTGCTCTGCTTCCTTCCATTCGTCTCTTAATAGAAGAGACAGACATTCTTCCTTTCTTTTTTTCGAAGAAGCTGAGATGTGCTGAAAGGCATCTTCTTTTCCAGATTCTGCTGTGAATGGGAACATAGAATCGGAGCCCCTGGAGTTGAGGAAATCAAAAGTAATTCTTTTTTTGAAGGTGTTGACTGGGAACATATCAGGTATATGCATAAAAGGTCACTACTAGTTTGCTTAACACTAATTTGGAAAGACCATGATTGGCATGCTAAGTAAGGAAAGAGATATTTTAGGGTCTTTTCTGTATTTTCTTTCTTTTTTTTTGTCGGTCATGGGACTTGAACTCTGGGCCTGGGTGCTGTTCCTCAGCTCTTCAGCTCAAGGCTAGCGCTCTACCACTTGAGCCACAGCGCCACTTCTGGCTTTTTCTGCTTATGTGGTGCTGAGGTATTGAACCCAGGGCCTCATGCATGCAAGGCAAGCACTCTACCACTGAGCCACCTTCCCAGCCCCTCTCTTCTGTATTTTCATTCATGGTTAATGAAGATAAAAAGTTAGGCTTCTTGGCCCTGTGTCATGGATGTACTGAGTCCCACAGCTCTTTACTGAGCCATGTGAATGTGGGGAGGGAACATCAGGACGCATGGTGTCCATGCTCTCTGTCCTCCATTGTGGGGGCCGTCAGCAGAGCTGTTCCGGACCACAGTTAGAGGACATCATTGGGAGTAAAGAGGCAGTGAGGAGGAGGAGGAGGGGTGGGCTGCAGACAGGGGACCTGTTAAGGAGGCTGGAGTAGGGTGCTGCCAGTGGCCAAGAGAGTCTGGAGTCCCGGACGCGCGCGCGTGCGTGCGTGCGTGCGTGTGTGTGTGTGTGTGTGTGTGTGCGCGCTTGTGTGCGTGTGTGTGTGCGCACGCTAGTCCTGGGGCTTGAACTCAGCCTAGGTGCCGTCATTGAACAGAGTTTTGCTCAAGGCTAGAGCTCTTCTACCTGAGTTCTAGCTTTTTGGTGATTAATTAGAGATAAGAGTCTCCTTGACTCCCCAGTAGGATTACAGGCCAGAACCACCAGTTTTTAGTTTTTTTTGGGGGGGGGTGTTCCGGTCGTGAGGCTTGAACTCTGGGCCTGGGCGCTGTCCCTCAGCTCTTCAGCTCAAGGCTAGCGCTCTACCACTTGAGCCACAGCGCCACTTCCGGCTGTTTTCCTTTTTGCTTATGTGGTGCTGAGGAATTGAACCCAGAGCCTCATGCATGCAAGGCAAGCGCTCTACCACTGAGCCATCTTCCCAGCCCCAAGCTTTTAGTTTCTTGAGACAAGTTCTCACTATGGAGTTCAAGCCATCCTCGAACCCATGATACCTACATCAGCCTCCTGGGTGCTGGGATTATAGATGTGGGTCATTGAATCCATGTTCTACACCTTTTAAACCAGCTTTTTTGGTTGCTAAACCAATGAGGTTGTCTTTTTTTTTTCCCCCTGTACTGGGACTTGAACTTAGGGCCGCATGCTCACTCAGCTAGCTTGCTCACAGCTGACACTTCATTACTTTTGAGCCATGCCTCCAGCCCTGCCATTTTATATTGTAATTATATTCTGGTTTGCATTCTTGTGAATTTTTTTTTCTTTCTCTGAGAGGGTCTCATCATGCAATCCAGGCAGGTTTTACACTCAGGATCTTCTGTCTTTTGAGTGCTGGGACTGTAGGCATGAGCTACCATGCCCAGCATCCTTGTGACTTTTATGTTTGCCTCCTTGTCGTCATATATTCTAGCTCTCATGCTGGCCTGTGCCCCCAGGGGAAGAAGGGTAGAGCCGTACATGAGGGGTGTAAAGAGTTTCCTCCTCTAGTCGAAGGGGCAGCCATTTAGAGTATCATTGTGCACTTTCCCCTTGTTCCTGCCGTTCTAGCTATGAACGAATATTTTTATTGTATTTTATTTAATAATTTACTTTATTATGAATGCTCAGTTGGCCAGCATTCATAAGCTTTTCAGAGAAAATAAACGCTGTCTGCCAGTTGATTAGTACGATCCATGTGAATAATAACAAGTAATCCTTGGCATGTCTGTTCTTGGCAGAGAGAGACCTGCTGCAATATCTATTGAAATCAAAAGCATTGATGATACCTCAAACTTCGATGAGTTTCCAGAGTCTGATATTCTTAAGCCAACAGGTAATTCACTAGCACGGCCTCAGCAGCCTCCTAGTCAAATTATTTCCCGCCCTGCTTGCAATATTGGCACGATGCTTACAGGTCAGGGTAGAGTGTGGATAGGAACCTGGAAATGTTTTTCTAACGCCAGTGCTGGCTCGTGGTGGGATGCACGTGTCCACACTCAGATGACTCTTCCGCCGGGCGGCCGGGCACACACAACCTATTTATTGTACTGAAGGTTAGGGAAAATGAAACGCTCTGAAGGGGAAAAGAAAACTTTGTGCAGAAATAAATCTGAGGCTCAAAGAGCCACAAGCAGACAGAATCTGCAGAATGCAAAGAGCCTTTTCCAGATAGACACATGTCCTCGGCGCCATTGCGTCTTCAGTGCTGAGCAGCCCACTGGTGGAGGGCAGTAAATTATTCTCACATCTATTTCTTCCCCAGTGGCCACCAGTAATCACCCCGAGACTGACTACAAGAACAAAGACTGGGTCTTCATCAATTACACATACAAGCGCTTCGAGGGTCTGACCGCTCGGGGGGCGATTCCATCCTACATGAAAGCGGCAAAGTAGAGCGCGGTGGTGGGATCCGAGACGGAGCAGAGTTCCTCGGCCAGCATCACTGGCGGCTTGCCTCTCGCACCCTTTCAAAGAGCTTCTAAGCAGTTGACAGAACCTGCCAATGTGTCATAGCAAAGTTTCCTGAAATGTGATAAAGTGGATTTTCTCCCATAATGCACCAGAAAACCGATAGAACAAAGAACCATCTCCACTCCACATCATCGGCCATAAACAGCTTCTTTAGAAGCATCGTGAGCCAATTTGATAGGTATTTTCAAAAGAATTTGAATTCCCACAGTTCACCAGAAGGAAGGAGAGAAACAGCCATCATCCAGCATTACCAAGATTTTGTAATGTGTACTCTGCCAAGTCCTCTGCCGTGGTGACACCACGCCCCCTGCCAAGCCCATTGAGTATTTCTTTCCTCTGTATAGCTAAAAGTCCCATAGTACTACAGGAATACAGCAACAACCATAGTGTGTCAGCAGCCAACGTGATCTCCGTCCTGAGGGGTGGTGAGGAGAGCGTCTCCCTGCACTCGGCCCTGGGAGCGGCTTTCCACAGCTTGCACTTACGGTGCACTTTATTCATGGTACTAGGACTCATGATTTAGCTCCTCTCTTCCACCCATCCAAAAGCTTCGGCTGCTCTTCTGAGTGTTGATGGTGTCTCCTCTTGCTCTCTGGAGGCCACTGGCACTGCTGCGTTATGAATCATGCGCAAGCCCTCACTTCCTCTGTGTGGTGCATCAGATCCCAGGGTGGATGCCACTGACCAGCAATGCCCGAAAGCACTGCCGGCAGGAACTGTGTGTTCCTGGGGACACAGCCAGCAGCCCACATGGAGGCTGGAGGCCTGGAGCCTCCTGGGAAGAGGTGGTGGACCCACCTCTTCCGGCAGAAAGGACACGGCCAGCTCCCTCCTCATCCCTGGCGCAGCCGTGTTGTCTTCTCTCGGTATTTCTCCTCTTCCAGCTGTCGCCATTTTGCCTTGGAATCATGAGGACAAATTTTCCCTTTGCTGATGCCTTCCTGAGGGATACTTGTCCCACCCAAGACTTGCCTGCAGCTAAGGCTGACCTGACTTCTGTTGTGGCGTTCTCTTATGAGACTGAATTGTAGCACAAAGTGCCTTCTTTGTCACAGCCACAGCCACCATTAGAGGACTTTTGCTGTGTCATAAAAATGTCAAGGGTTCCATATGAATGCATTATTTCTTTTTGGTTTTGATAACTCTTCAAGCATCATTTGCACCTGTGTGGTGACTGCCTGTTGCAGATCACGGCCACGCCACACCTGAGACTTGAGGTGGTGAAGGCCGCGCGTCCCAGCTCGGCCATTCAGAAAGGAAAATGGAATGTCAGTCACGGCGACACTGTCCTAATCTGGATGGGGATGTGGTGTGTCAGCCCCCTACTTTTTTATTTGTAGCCTGTTAGTGTGAAGGAAGTAAATGAGGTTTGTCTGTGTAACTCCTTAGTCTATTATTAAATAGTTGGGGTCTGTGTGGTGTGAGGATGGGGAGTGCGGGGAGAATAACTGAAGGGAGTGGCGCTAGCCTAGTAGGGTGGCGGGGAATGGGTTTAGGGTCAATGACCACATGTTAGCTGTTAAAACTTCTGAATAAACTGTGAAAACAGCAGTGGAAATCTGTGGTACGTTTAAAACGAATGTGTCAGATTGCTTGTGACTTTCAGCCCCACTATCCAAAAGAGCAGAACATCGCACCATGGTCTTTGTGACAGGAAGCTGGGACTTAGTGTTCAAGTGCTTCCTCTTCTTTGGGGTCACAGGGGGTGAGTCAGGGTCACCTGCTGACAAGGGATGTCAGTCACCCAGACCTATCAGGAATCTCACAAGCTCCACCGGAGCACGGTTCTATTGAACTGTTGATCTACTTCTGAAGTCTCTCTTCTGGGGAAAAGAGCCTCTGAATAGGCAAGAAAGGGGTGAGGGGCACAAGCCCGGCTTGCAGCAGGGAGAAGATTCAAGCAGGACGGGCAGAAGTATTTCGTTTCTGGATGTTTTGGAAAAAAAACTAATTGAGTGTGGATCCTGTTCACAGATAAATCCCAGTTCCTACTCATTAGGGAAATAGGATGTTGTTTTGGTTTTTTTTGGTCGGTTGTGGGCCTGGACTCGGCCTGGGCGCTGTCCCTCAGCTCTTCAGCTCAAGGCTAGTCTTCTACCACTTGAGCCACAGTGCCACTTCTGATGTTTTCTGCTTATGTGGTGCTGAGGAATCAAACCCAGGGCCTCATGCATGTGAGGCAAGCACTCTACCACTGAGCCACTTTCCCAGCCCCAGAATCTATTTTTTTTTTCTTTTTTGGTACTAGGACATTGCACTTGCTAGGCAAGTACTTTGTAACTGAGCTATGTCCCAGTCCTAAGCTTTATATTAAGACAATTTTACTGCATACCAAAACAATACTGAGCATGTGCTCTTTCCATTTTTGGACAAGGTCTCACTAGGCAGTCCAGGCTGGCCTTGAACTCATAGCCCTATCAGTCTCCAATGCTGCAATTATTGGTGTCACTACATCTGTGCAGTCTTTTTGATTCAAGTACATCAGGATTTTATTTAGTATATCTTTGGGTTTCGAATTACTTTAAAGAAAAAGAGAGATCCAGAGGCTGGAAAATTGGCTCAGTGGTAGAGTGCTTGCCTTGCATGCATGAGGACCTGGGTTCGATTCCTCAATACCACATAAGCAGAAAAAAGCCCGAAGTGGCGTTGTGGCGTCAAGTTCATTCCCCATGGCTGACCAAAGGAAAAAAAAAAATTTAGAGTTGTACTGGTAATTCATGTCTATAATCCTACTCAGGAGGCTGATTTAAGATTGAGGTTCAAAAATCCCTAAGTCTTAGCTCTAACTAACCAGAAAAAAACCTACATAGGAATGGAGCTGTCTCAAGGGGGTAGAATTCAAGCCCTAAAAAAAATAAAACTCAGCTAATAGTAAAATACTGACTTCAAAGCTCATCAATGTCATGTAGTGGGAGACAGCCATTGATCACTAATGGCTTTTCTCAAAATCGTCTGCATAGAAAACCCATTTCCTGGAGTCTGGGTTCAGGTCATTGTGAACTAACCCCTCAAGCCCTAGTTTTCTGCTAAGAAATACCACAGAAACAAATGGTGGTAACATTTTATTGTATAAAAAAAAAGCATCCCAAACGGGATTTCATAAACACTGGTAGGTGAACAAGTGCAATCTTAAATACAACATGAAAAGGTGAAACCTACAAGCATTTTGCCTTTGGGAGTAAAGTCTCCTGCAGGTGATCCCAACTAGAACACTACATGGAGGCCGCAGCTGCTGAGTTCTCGGGTGAAGTCCATCGTTAAGTTCAAAATGATGGCAAGAGGTGGCATTAAATACACTGCCTAAAACCACAGGTGCTCCGCATCACACTGGGTGACAGTCTGAGCTAGTGGTGTGTGTTGAATTAACCACAGGGCCTGTGGGACCCCCTGTCAGCACATCCCCTGCCTGGGAGCTTCACCATCTTCCCAGACCTGGTCCCGAGGCTGGCTGAGGGGATCCTGGCGGCTGCACACTGAGCAGCACTCTGCTGTCACCTCTTCCATACCTCCTATCCTGGAGAACACAGCAAACGATCTCATGAGAACCAATGGGTCCCCTTCTCTCGCCAGCTCAATGGCAAATGTTTTCTCATCAGCCAAACTCCAGATTGTTCAGGTTCATCTTGGCTGACTGAGATGCTCCAAGATACTCTGGGTAAAGTAACGTTCCTACAAAAATGTTTCTGTATGAACAGCCTGGCTTACTATAAATTAGGCACTTTAAAGACACCAAACCAGTGTTCCACCTCTTTATTAAGGAGAAATCTTGACCATGTGGCCAGCAACTGCCTCTGAAGGGGAAGACCACCCCACCCTTGCCATTGGGGCAATGTCACACATGGCTGCGCAGAGCCAGCACATGGCAGGCTGAGGTCTAGGAGGGTGCAAAAGCCTCTCTACCGGAAAGAACGATCCTTCAGTCACCACAACCCGGTGACATTAGCCGATTAGTCTGCACAGACTTCCACTTATCCAAACCCCATGGGTTGGGGCCAGAAGCATATTCATTTTGGGAGAAAAGACCTCATTTGTAAAAGCAATGGTTCAATGACAGTTACACACAACGTTAGCTATATGCCATGCTTCTGCATCTTTTTACCTAAGCTACACTTGTTTTACAACATTAGCTTGGGCCGTGTTTCCACGGGGTGGTAATATGCATGCTATGACAGGAGAAGCTAGCGGTGGCACACAAACGTCAGGTCATGGAGTTTCCTCTGTAGTGGTGTGAAGTCCAGACAAGAGCAGCAGAAGCACAACCAACACTGACCTGGCTGGTCAGCAGCTAGTGGGTATGAATGTGGGGCTGGAAAGGTGGAGGCCAAACTGGACCCCAAATATAAGTCAATTCGTTTCACAGAAATGTCCATTTCTGGCTACAGATAGCCCCGACCCTCCCCTTAACCCTGGCTTTGCAAATTGATGCAAATAGCTTATCAGGAAAATAAGGCAAAGGAAGATTTAACCCCGCCGCTTCTACCTCACACGAGGATGCTGGCTGATCCCCACTGCAGTGCAGCCATGCGCAGCAGGGCTTCCTCCCGACTACTCACTCAGGTGTGGCTGGGCAGGACCCTGACTTTCATTCCCAGCACTGGGATGAAGGTGGGTACCACCCCACCGGGAACAACACTCTTGTTCTTCAAGCCTGGGAAGAACAGCTCCTGCCTTTATTTTTAGAAGAGCTGACTAGAGCATTCAGAAAGTAGAAGCCCAACAAGGTCAATAGAAATGG